CGCCCCCAAGCTACTAGACTTTTTCCTGTCAATCACCTCTCTTTTGTGGGGGAAAGCAAGTGGCAAGGGGCAGGGGCCAGAGGCAGCAAAAATTTCCCCAGGGTCCTCAGCTGCAGCCAACGGGCAGCATTCCCCAGGCTCTATCAACATGTTTGACCACGGCATTCCAAGACCTACAAATGCCACTTTAAAGGGTCTTCACTTTAGGCTTCCAGAGTTAAGTAGTGAACAATGATGCCAAGTAGGGATTTTTCTGATGCTTACTTACATCTCCCAAAGATATTTACTTTAAATAAGTGACAGGTACAGTCCATTTGGTTTAAATATCCAGCTAGTAGACCACTCAAGTGCACAGAAGATGAAATAATTGGTAGAATTTTTAATCTTCCTTTGTTTTTCATGTGACCACTTTGTACAAGTCAAAGGGATATGCCAACAATAGCACAGCCTGCGTCACGCTTGTTACTAATATGACTGCCAATTAATCCTGACATGGGAGCTTGGCGGGTTACCCAAAACCTGGTATTTTATCACGTTGGGGGGTTAGCACTTGGACATTTCTATGACATTTTATTCTAATCAATCAACTTTCCTTTTTTAAAGGCAAGCCTTTCACAGGAACTGCAGATGAGCCCTATATGCCCCAGACCCAAGGCCACCCATTCCCCCAAAAGAATTGTATCTGGTTTGTTGATAATTGCACTCTGAAGCCGACTTTTGAAAATGTTTATTCTTATTTCTTCCTTACCGAAGGGGAAATCTATCTCAAATGTTAAGACAGAAACTCAAGTCCCCAAGAGTTTTCTCATATTATTGTATATTTTAAAATATTATAAGAGGATGCCTCTCAAGGGAAGTGAACTTTAGAGCTGCCAAAGATAGTTGACTTTCTCCAAACCTGTTACCAATGGATCCCAAGCTGGTTCAAGTCAGTTCTATTCTGAGTAATGACAAACGCGGCTGAGACAAACGCCATTCTAAGATATTTCTAGGACCCCTGGCAAATGGTAATTTATCTGAAGACATCCAGGCAGGCCAAAGAAGGACAGATGGGGAGAATGAGTCTCCGGGGAGTGATACTCCAAAGCGAGAGTCCTAAATCAGTGCCACGGACCATGTTCTCGGGGCAAAGGCCCGTCTCCAATCACTCACTCATCCCCTATCCTCTGGCCTCCAATGATTCTTTCAACTGTTGTTAGTATAGGTCATTCTAAAGACATCACCAAACTGCAAAAAGTTTTACTGGCAAACTTCCAGTCTTTCTTCTATTCCTTGTCTCCTGGAATTGCTTGAAGAATCTCAAACAAAAGCATGAACTGTGTTTTTCTGTATTATTTGAATAGCTGCCTTCAGGAAGCATGAAGACATAACCACTCTCTCAATACCAGCTTCTCCTCTCCAGCTTTTCTATTCCCTCAACCAAGGTTTACTGAGGCATAATTGACAAATAAAAATGTGTATATTTAAGGCATACAAAGTGATGTTTTAATACATGCACACAAGATGAAAAGTTAATCACAATCAGGCTAATAAACATAGTGTCTATCACCTCATGTGGTTACCACTTTTGAGGGTGGGGAAGTGAGAACAATTAAGATCTACTCTCTTGGCAAGTTCCAAGTATACAGTACAGTATTGCTAGCTATTGTCACCATACTATATATTAGAGCTGCAGATCTTATCCATCCACCTATTTAAAACCTGTACCCTTTGACCAACACTTCTCTATTTCCCCCACCACTCAGCTCCTGGTAACCACCATTCTACTCGGCTTTAAAAGTTTAGATGTTTTTAGATCTCACATGTAAGTGAGATCAGGAACCTGGAGGACACTATGCTAAGTGAAATAAGTCAACTGCAGAAAGACAAATACTGCATAACCTCCTTTTCTGGCTTTTCAAAGAAAGAGCCCAGGTTGTCCAAGTTCGTGGAATAGGCAGAAGTACACTGGCTTTGGGTCCGAAATCCCAGCCCTTCTAAAGAATTACTCTATGATTCCGTTTAAGACACTGGCCTTCCCTTGCCTCAGTCATCTCATTTGTTGTGTCAGCAAGCAAGGTAGAACACCACCATCCATCTGCTGTCAAAGGACCCAGCGGCCAACTGACTAGGGATCAGGCACCGCATAGGATATTTTTAAAGCACCATTCTGGAATGTTCACTCTGCCCCAGGCACTGAAGCATTCTCCCCATTAATCCCCTCATCTCTGACAGCTAGGTCATCCTTGAGTTTTGTAAAGGAAGAAGCTGAGGCTTGGACAAGCCATGGTGTTGGCGAGGGTAAGAGCCTGGGTCTGTGTGAACACAGGCTTGGCTAATGTGTTAAAACGGGCTCACGCAGGTCATTGTCTTGGAAGGAAAGGTGAGCTTTGGTAGAACCCTAAAGGGCTCTCTGGAAGTGAAATATGGTTTAGCTCCAAGGCATGTGGATTCTGTGTGTGTCACAGGGGAGAGAAGTTTGGTGGCCCCCTCACTCCTTGGTAGTCCCAAACTTCCATTTCCCCCTCTGTTGAGAAGTTAAATGGCAGCCTCGACATAAACATCACACTCTAATTTTACTTTGCCCCTCTATTTATAAGCAGATTTCCTATCACTAATATAGGGGAGGGAAAGGCGCTGTTTCTTGGGAACAGAGCTCATGTGTCCCCTGACGTTGCCAAGGCAACCTAGCAGCAGCTCAGAGCGCTCCTTGCAGGGAGGGGTGGCTGGGCAGATCTGTGTTGGAGGCAAAATATTGTGTGGCCAAGACATACAAGCCCCAGAAGAAGCAGAAGTCAGTCACTGTAATCTTGGTGGTGGGGGGAGGAGCAGGAGACAGGGAAGTGGGGAGAATGCCTCCTTCTGGCTAACAGAGTTCTCTCTCGTGGAGGAAACTAATTTCATGGAGTTTCCAGTGATGGCTCTCCTTCTGAAATGTCATCTATGAATTTGGTCAGACCTTCCAAAAATGTTGACAAGCTGCATCTTGTCCATTGTTTGTAAGTTTACTGAGGAGAGAAAATTTTTGAGTACCCATCTCCACGAAGTTTCCCAAACACAGAAAGAGCTCAATAAACAGGATAAACGCTGTGTCTGTGGTCACGCTCCATGCACTCAGACATGTGCAGCAAAGAAGCCGGTGGCGCTGCAGCCAGAGCTTGCCTCTTCAACCAGCTGGGAACCATCTCTGGCCTGCTATTATCACTGAACGGCAATAGGGTCCTATCCCTCATCTGGCCACTTGTCTACTGATGTTAGAAATATGAGGGGACCCAGCAAGAACAGAAGGCTGAGCTAGTAGGAAGCAGGACGCCAAGCACCGGTCAGAGACAAAGAATAGATCCTGCTTCTGTGGTGTGATGTCTGGACCCAGACACACCTCTCCCCGGCTGGGGGACTCTGTGCAAGCCACCTCCCCTCCCTGAGCCTGAGAGCTCTGCTGCAAGATGGAGCCGTTAGATGCTATACTATTCCCCAAGCCTCCTCCTAGTTCTGGCAGTTTCTGCACAGTGCTCTGGAGATTGGATGTGCTCAGGAAATGCTTTAGAAGCATGAAGAACATCTGGTTGACCCTAGGCTGTGTGGCTTCCTGCCCTCCCTCCTCCTTAGTGCCATGTGTGTGAGTGTGTCTGAGGGGGTGTGTTCAGCGGGAAGACACAGAAGGATGGGGCAGAGACCAAAGGTCACTGAATGACATGTAGGATATCCAAGAAGAAGAGAGGAGACATTGTGGGAGAGAAGACAGCAAGCAACTCAGAAGCAGGAGAACTGCCCCCGTGCTCTGCAGGGAACAAAGGAGATCGCAGGTCAAGAAGGTATTCATTGGTAAAAGAAGGCATCTGGTGAATATTCTGCTGAGCCTGATCGTTGGTGGCGGCAGGCTGGGGAGAGGGAAGGGAGGCTATACTCCAGTGACAGGTGTGAAGTGACAGCACAGTGCCTCACACATGACCCCTTCCTCAGCATGGCAGGAAGCGGAAATTATCATGTGGTCACCGCTACCCTCAAAATACAGGAAGAACCGTGAAAGCAACAGGAGTCTGCTAGGTTCCCAGCATCAGTTCTGTGACACAAACTCTGTGCGCTCCAGCAAAAGTGTTACCTCACCAAGCCCCGGTGTCCTCAAGTGCAAGAACAAGGCTAACAATAATACTATTAGTCTTCCACAGCCCTCAGGAGGATGACATCCAAAGAGGTAAAATGTGTGAAAATATTTTGCAAACATATAAATACGCAATGTCTTGCTAAATAGCTGAGTACTCGTTACTACAAAAAAAAAAAAAATCAATGAAAAGGAAAATAAACACTCTGCCTTGACTAAAGGCAGGGAACCACTGTTAGCGTGCCATTGTGGTTCTGCCCTTGAAGCTCTAGGTCAGCCCCAAGGAAGTCTCTTAGCCATTCTCCCCGGCCTTTATTTGCACAAGAGGCTTCGTAGGGGAGCTCCACACAGCTCCTCCCGCTTCGGAAAAACATTTTCTTCTGCTTCTGGAAGAATGAAGCCATACAGGACTCTACATGTGAGTTAACACCTCCCTTGTAACACTGTCTCTGGTTTAGCTTTGGATAGAGTTAAAATACTCCACCTCGGGTTTAAAGGACAGGGATGGTGACAAACCCGAGTACCTTCTCTTTCAATACGCTGCTGCTTTGCAGAGAACACAGAATGAGCATAATATATAAATCAATAATCAAGTCAACTCTTCTACTCGCTCCACAGACACAAAGCTTAGATTCCCCTGCCTAGCCCCTCATTTTACGGCTCAAGACACCAAGGCCAAGTACGGTTGCCTGGGCTAAAGTCACGCTTCCAGCAAATGGGCGTCAGTCCCAGAGTCCATCTTTCTCCCCACCCTGTGGCACTTCACAAACTCCATTTATCAGGGTTAAAATGCACTTTTAAGATTCAAACCTGAGCAGCGCTCTACCACGAGCCATCTATCCTTAAATGCAGTGCAGGAAATTGGTCTGTGTTCCCCCTAGAAATGAGCTCTAGCAGGGGGTTCGGGCTCGGCTCTTACCTGCAAATTTGCACAAGGTGGTAAAACGTGAGTGGGGATTTCGTTCTCAGACCCTGCTGGCCCCAGGGGCTTGTTCTTGACCCGGAAGGCTGTGGTGGTGGTGGCAGTGGTGGTCTGAACTGGGAGGGCTGGCTGCCACACAGTCACATCGGAGCCATTGCCAAAGGCTTGAATTGCATTTTCTGCAGTAAAACAGGAGGAAATCCAATTTCAAAGTCAAGCAGCAAATGTAACAGACAGGATACATGAAGCCAGAGAAGCACACTAGAAATTCTGATTACAGTATTGGACTTCTCTGAACAAAACCCATCCATCCATCCACCCTACACATGCTGAGAGCCAACCATCGGGTCAGGTGCTCAAAAATCGATTCATTCATTAAATACTGAGATGGACACTTAGGTATGCTCAAAGTACAACAAATATTGTTCCTATTTATGTACCAGGTGCTGAGCAAGATGCTTGTCTTTAAGTACTCATCAGTCAAGCGCTGTGAAACCCAGCTTCGAACCTGTATTTTGGGATCGCCATCATTGTCCTATCTTTCAAGAATATCCTTGCGCTCTCTTAAAATTCTATACTAAAAGCAAACTAGTTAGTGTCTTTTTGAAAAGAATAACATAGACTTAATTATGAGACTGAGGCAACTTGGTGACACCCGCACTAATTTGGCAGGCAGTAAAATCAAACAGCAAAACAGTGTAATTCGCTACCACCACAGAGCACTCTATACACTCTGAGCAGCCACCGTGAGCCAGGCATTGCTCAAAGCACGGGTGTAACCAGCTTCTTTAAAAGAGAATTCTACCCCAAACCTCATCAATATATAGTGAAAATTTAAGTAAGATTATTTTTTCCCTTTCTGCTCCCAGTCTTCCAAACAGAATCTGCATAATTAGGTAGGAGCAGCCCTGCTTAAATGAAAAGTTTAAAATGTAAAACTTTAAAAGCTTATTACAATTTCATGGGATTAGATTGTTTTCATGGCAAGAGTAAATTGGTTGTGTGTTGTTCCCCTCCCGACAATGAATTAAAAACAGTTTTTAATCAGGTCCTCAGGGATTTGGCCTGGCTTTAGGAATTTTTTTATTTCATATTCATTGTATTAGAAATCAAACTCCCCCATTTGAGACCTGAATGTGCAAATTGTTAATATAGGACTCCTTACTGGCATTTTTTCCGATATATAAGCCAGAATAATTGAAGCCTAATCTTCCTCTTAGAAGTGACATTTTGTTCTTAAATTGTTATCCTTTAAGTTCGGGCAAACTGGAAGCTTGTTTTCTGAAACTTTACATTTTTTTTAGGCTGTAAGAAACAGCTTCGAATGAATATAACTATTGTTTATGCTCCTAGCCGTGGTACATGGCTTACCGGCTTGGTGAAATGCGGAGAAAGAGGTGCGCGGGGGACTGGTTGCTTCAAATGACCCAGAAAAACCACCACCACAAACCACAGGACCCTCCTTTCTCTCATGAAGATTCAAGAGACCCCCTCCCATTTACCGGAACCGCCTGTGCTTTCTGGGGTGTCTGCCTTGCACTTGGGGAGTTGGTTCACTTATTCATTCTATTTACTCAAATGTCAATGGAACATGTACTAAGTGCCAGGCGCTGTCTGTGCTGGACACGCAGCAGTGAAGGTCAGTGACGGCAACAAAAGACATGAGTGCGTGCCCTCACAGGGATGCCATGCGGACTGGGGAGGCATGTGAGCGAAACATACAATACATCGGTGATGAAAACTGACTGGAGGTGATGAAGCAGGAGGGGATGCCTGGGTGGTTAGGTTAAATGTCTGACTCCTAATTTTGGCACAGGTCATGATCTGTTTGAGAGTTCGAGCCCTGCATTGAGTTCTGCGCTAATGGTGCAGAACCTGTTTGGGATTCTCTTTCTCTCTCTCTCAAAATAACTAAGTTAAGACAAAAATAAGCAGGGGTAAGAATGGAATGAGGAACTGCAGTTCAGATACAGCAGTCCAGGGAGATGAAAGTCACTTCTGGAGAAAGACCTGAGTGACAGGAACTGATAACTTACCTCCACCCCAAGATCCTTCTTCTCTCTCTTCCTCTCATCTTGGCTAGGTACTTTGGCTTAAAAATAACTGTTTTCCCCCCAATAGCCAGAAATAAACAATCATTTAACGTTGTGCTCATGACAGAGGCACCTGGGAGAGGTCTGGCTAATGTGAAGGTAGCAGAATTAGGTTATTGCATTTGGGTTGGAACCTATGAATTTCAATTCCTTCAACTATGGAGCCCTTTGCCAGAGAGTGAATTTGCAGGCGCTACGTCTTTGGTATGCTGTGGCCCTTCTGATCAAAGTATAAATGGAATGACTATGAAAACTTCTGGCTGGCTTTGGTCCCTGTTGAAGACCACATATATGTCTTTTTATTGAAAAGTCATTAGCAAAAAGATGCCAGACGATTCTCCCCTTCACCGAAATATTATTAAGCAGAGACACCTTTAATTTCTCCACGAGGGAGTGGTTTTCCAGCCAGTGTGAGTGTGATCTTCTCTCACACACAATGACCTATATTGTCATTGCTTTATCTTCATTAAAACTTGCGTTCTTCCAGAAGACTATGCAGGGTGTGGAAAAGAGGGATATATACACACTTTTCCTCTTTTAAGTCAAGACCAAGGGGCGCCTGGGTGGCTCAGTCAGTTAAGCGTCCGACTTTGGCTCAGGTCGCGATCTCGCGGTTCGTGGGTTCGAGCACCGCGTCGGGCTCTGTGCTGATAGCCAGCTCAGAGCCATAAGCCTGTTTCAGATTCTATGTCTCCCTCTCTCTCTGACCTGCCTCTGCTCATGCTGTCTCTCTCTCTCAGAACTAAATATAATATTAAAAAAAGTTTTAAGTCAAGACCAAACAAGAGATCCGAGGTACAATTCAGTGGGTACCCCCAATGTCTTAGCAAATGTTTCTGCACTTCCTAATATGTCTGTGATTTTCAATTTTACTTAGGCATCCAGAGCTTGTGTTAGTTTTAAGATGACCAAACATTTAGTTATAGCCACATTATTAAAAGTACCTAGTAAGCAAATCATTTAGATTTATCTTTTCAACCAAGGAAACAATAGAGTGGTTTTAGAATAAATAACACTTAAAAGCTTTTCCATGGATACAGTAAATTGGTAGCTAATTCTTTGGTAGTTGGTCATTGCATAGCCTCGTGGAGAACTGTCACAGCTCTCAGAGGGGTGGCTGAACCTTAATTCCTAGAAACTTGCTCCAATACCTCTCACCAGGAAGTTACACTGGTCCCCAATGTTCGGGCATTTGTTCTTGGCCAATGGGTCCTTTAATATCAGGAATGAGGCAAAAGCAAACGAGTCCCCCTCGGGGGACAGGGGCTGCTGAAAAAGGCACTCAGGCTTCGGATCCATCTCTGGCATGGATGGTCTATATGAATAAACAGCTGTTTACTCAACTGTGAAATAGAAACAATAATACCCATATCTCCGAGGGCTCTTACGCAGATTACAGTAAATGAGATAATATATATATTGTACTCCCTATAAAGTGAGTCAAAGGTGCCCAATAAATTAAAGGTGGCTGCCACAAAATGTGAGTGAGGCACTCAAGCATCTCAGCTGGATTGCCACCTCCAACGTGCACATCTCAGTGGATAAAAGGGAGACTGGCCCAGTCTGACACATGCCACTATTCACACCTGTACAATTCTCTCTATCCCTCACCCTTTGGGAAGCGTGTTTCCTAACTGCCTGAAGGACACTGCAATCATAACCAATACTATTTCCAAGCAGGAGCCCCCTTAGTGCTCAGCTCTGTCTCCCGAGATAACACATCCTGAGGCTCCTGGCCGCATCGCCGGCTTATCCCACTCAAGAATTGTTGCTTCTCCTCTGAGCCAACCCCGATCATCCAGGGGGCTATTGATGTTAATGTGATAATTTTTCTCAGAGAGCCCTTGGAGGCCTACCCCAGTCTAATTTGTCTGAGCTTCTCACATCGTATATAGCTCCCAGGTTTTAAGAACCTTTGGAACAGACTTATGCTGGTTGCCAAGATCAAAATTTGATCTGTGGGTAGGAGTGTTCTATCCGACATAATGTACCCTCCGTTGTTTGAATCTCTTGCTCTCTTAGGCCTTTGGATTCACGGACTTGGCAGCACTGATGTGCTCAGATCCCTGCTGCCTTGCATAGTGTGGCCAAGAGATGCTGGATTCACCATCAGCAATCAGGAAAAAAGCGACAGTAATTGAGAGAGAGAGAGAGAGAAGAGGCAGACACAAGAAACATGAAGCTACAGCTTGAACACAGAGAGGAAAGCATGTTTCTGTGTTTGCTTCCTTTTTTTTTTAAACTCACTAAGACAAGTGTTGTCCTTGAAGAAATTCAAAAATTTGAAGCACTCTTCCAGATCATTCCCACTGTTGCTGCAGTCACACCATGGAGCCACACTGAGGCTACTGGAGTCTATGTAGTTGGGGGTCATGACTGTACCTAAAAAAGTAAAAACAAGGCATCTTGTTCCTGCGCGATGATACAGACTTTTCTATAGCCTGAAAGAGAAAACAAATGTTCCTCTGATGGTGGATGCACCATGGATAATTACAAACATTGTGTTTGCTGAGTGGGAAATTATGTTAAGCAGTGACTTTCTTGGCAATTTATCTTGAGCACATAAAATAATTTACACATTTACTTAAAAAATTATAACAGAACTCCTTGAGCTGCACTTAGGGTATTTTTCTGCACAAATGGTATGGATGTTATGGAGTAGGAGAGAATTAACTTAGAATGCATGAGTTCCCAAATCCCTTGCATTTTCTCGAAAATGTCATTAATCTTCATAAATAGATAGAACTGGTTTTACATATCTTAGAAATCCTTTTAGGACTTTGAATCCACTTTCCTCGGAAGCAAATGGCTTCTTCAAAGTAACACAGGAAAGCTTAGAAGCTATCCTTTGGGTTACCACACATCCTGAACATATATAACAAGGTCTCTGCTCACCAGACTCTCAACTGATTTAAATCAAGTCTTCCAAGTTGTGAAGGAATTGGAAATAAACAATGGAAATTCTCTAAGCTGATGGCTTCTAGAGTATTGTCTCAATAGTCCTCAAGAGTCCTCAGAGAAAAGCTGGGTGGTCTCTCTTGCCTACATCGTCCTGTATTCATGGTTTTTCTGAGGAGATCTGTGCTGGCGCAAACAATGCATTTATACTTAATACAACCCAAATGTCTTCTTCTGGGTGGCTTCCACCAGGCGATGCCTATTCATGCCAAGAAGCCTTCTGTTTTTATACATTTTGTGGATATAAGAAGTAATAGGTGGTCAGTGATCCACAGGATATATTTAGTTTATAAACAGAAAAAAAGAAATTCTTTATGAGCTCTCCTGGGTCAAGGACATATCTTCTTTGCCCTACATCCCTTACCAAGTTGAACTACATTTATCTCCCATTATACCTCGGGATGGGAACTCTGACCCACAGTGGACAGTGAGCCCCTAACTTTGAGTGAGAAAGGTAAGAGCCCCCCACATATGGAGTCAAGAGGCTAAAATGTGTCTACTAAGAAACCAGTGAATGCCTGGCACCATTGCGGATCTCTGACATATGGAAGAGGCAGGCATAGGCATTGTCTTGAAAGAAGTTAGAACCAGTGTGGAGGGAAAGATCCAGACCCAAGAGGGAAATAAATTTTGGTCTGTAAAATGCACTTCCTCAACCATTTCATTCCATTACGTGAAGAGTATTTCATCAACCTCAGGCATGTAATGGTTTGCCAAGCCAGAAATGCCTGGCAGAAACATGTCTTGGCTACTCATTGAGGATTTAATGAGCATGTGTGCCTGGAAGGAGATGCACTAAGGTGATCATAGTGATTACGTCTGAGAGTGGAGTTGTAGATCCTTCCTACTGTCTCCTTCGGGTTTCTCTGTAAGTTTTTAAACTTTTTATAATGAGCATGCCTTAATTACTTCCATTGGTTCTTTAAATCTGTAATTCCATAGTTGGTAAGTAACCCTTTACTAGAGACTAACTTACTTAAGAAAAGGAAAGAGTGAGTGCAAATTTAGAAAACGGACTTAAGGAAGATACACTAGTTGGGACACATCCACAGAAATGGTGCACAACACCGGTGAAAGGCATTGCCCAAGAGAACACAGGTATCCTTTCACAAAATGCTGGGATGAGCATGCAGGGACCTGTAATATCCCTGCATTAAGTGCCATCGTTGATTTTTTCCCCCGAGAGCTCTTGCTGAAGACGCTCTGGTGACAAAAAATGTGCTGTCAGTCTTGGTGGGAAGTTCTGCCTGCCTGGTGACTTGTGCGATCCTGGCAGGGACACACACCATGGCTGAGCCATCACACTTCTGACAGCTGCGATTTCCCTCACCCCTCCACAGCCTTCACTACGCAGTTGTCCTCAAATGTCAATCGTGACGGAGCCCTGCCATTGAGGCTTCTTAAGCCCCCAGGATCTGGAACACCTGCCTTCCTTCCTGCCTACCCCTTTACCCACGGCCACAAATCTGCCTCACTTCCCACTCTTCCTACTCACTGGTCCCCTAACTGTACTGTTGCCCTGAATGCTGAGAACCTGGTTCTTCTAAAGCCTCGGGTCTTGAGAGGCAGAAAACACTGTTTCTTCTCTGTCTGTTCTCAGGGGGAAGTTTTAGGCTAAATCACCCCTGCATACGAGGAGCTGAATTACCAAGAATATCAATGGTACGAAGGACCCCGGTTAGTTAGGGGTTTTATTTCCAAAGGGCCATTTCTGGGGAACAGCCCTTTCTGTTTCCCCCACTGAACTACTTCCATGTTCCCTAATTCAATTAACTTGGTTTGACTTTGCTGCCCTTTTCCTCGGCCATGCAGATTCTTTCTGGCTGTTGTTCTGTGTGGGCAGCACCCCACCCGAGATGCTTGTCAGGTGCTCATACTGTAGCCTTTCTTGCACTTTGATACTCCCTGCTTCTTCCCTCTGTCCTTGCACGGCCATGATCCTCAGTGGCCTTTTTGTTACAGGTGAGTCCCCTAGGGCTTAACAGCAAAACCCCAGCACGGGGGTTATGGAGACATTCTTCCTTTCATAGATAGTGGCAGGCGACAATGGGAAGAGTCTGTGAATATTTGTAAGCTAGACTTGCCTCCCATCCCGCTTCTCCCCGATCTTACCGATAAGCCCTGAGTAGGCAAGGAGGCAGTCAGCGTAGTTTTCCTTTAGACAGCTGCTGGCAGACCTTGACTCCGGTTGGCAGTTGGTAAAAAAATCCGCAAGGCGAGATCTACAGTAGGAAGAAAGGGCAAGGGGTGTGCCTTGAAATACCCTACGTTAGCTTCTGGACACATGTAACTTTTCTTTATTCCTTCGTTGATATGCCTTTTTCCACACCCCCCAAAAATATAGAAAATATGCACTCTTAGGATGTTAGCATTCTCTCCTATACAACCCCACCCCCCACCATCCCCTCCTCCACCCAGCCCTTGCCTACCTGTGTGTCTGCTTATTTGCACAGAAGTCTTCAGGGCCTATAACTGGAGAAGTCTAGATGCTTTGAAGTTTCCATTCAATATTTATTTCTGACAGACTTATTTGCATCTTTAGGAAATATGCTTCTCTACACACTCACCAGAGATCCACACTGGGGAAATATTTACTTTATACAGAAACATGTCCCTGGCATCAAAATAGGATCCTACAGCCCATCTGCTCCCGTAATTCCTGCTGGCTTTAAACATACGTGTATTTGTCCTGTAAGTTATCTCTCATCCAACAGCCCAGGGGACAAGAGATTTATTCCAGCCAAGTGACACTGAGGAGAGGCTCGTCTCTCCAGAACTGAAGGGGAAAGCAGGAAGGACAGAGATGCTCGCTCTGGGGGTGGTGTCCCTGTGTGACTAGGCCTTCTGTTGGAGGCGTTGCGTGCAGGGGTCACGGATCAACTCCCCAGGGCCCTGCGCAGTCCACTGGGAAGGCCTGAGCAGTGGCGACATTGCAGAGACCCAAGAAGGTGAAGAGGGGCCACAGACACGCTGGTCTGGGGAGGAAGAGGACTTTGTGGCTAACTGGCTGTTCTTCAGTCTGAAGAGGATATTGTTGGAGAAAATCCTGAACGAGGACGGGGCCACCTCTGAGGTCATCTCGGCAGACAACAGCCCCGCTTCTGAGTGAGGAACACAATGGACTTCAAGAGAATTTAAATTATCCAGCAATTATGGGAGACAATGGATGGTTGTCTCCGCTCTTTTCGCTTCAGCAGACCCAAGTTGGCAGCCAATACACACACACACACACACACACACACACACGGCTGTTTTCACTTCTTTCCACGCAAGACACTGTATTTACTCAGCATACTTGAGGATACACACAAGCTTGCGCTGGTGGGGCAGAGCGAGGAAGGGTGTGTGGAGATCACAGAGGTTTGTAAAAGGTCTGCAAGAAGCCCATTAAGGTGTCCCTTTACTACAACTCTACCTAGAAGAGAGTCAGAAGGCCTGATGAAGTCATCTAAGTTCACTGCCACAGCAAAGGTGCACGGTGTTTGTGAGGGGCTGGTCTCTTCTTAAAACCTTTCAAGCAGGGGCATGTGAGCCTCACTAGCTGTGCCGATCTGTGCACTCTGTATAGGCGCCTGGTTCCATCACTGCCAATCCCCGGGGCAGGTGCTGAAGCTAAGCAGCTTGGCAAAATCCTCCAAACGAGGCTTGTGTGTGCCTGTACGTGTGCCCGGATCTCCCACAGTCCAAGCCTAGTTGGTATTTTCGGGCTCTAATTGAACACACCGGAGGGCATAAAACCGGGCCATTTTCTGTAGCCTGGTTAAAGGATTTAGTTTTCAGAGGAAATCCCTAAAGGTGGCTCAGGCTTACTCAACTGGCTCCAACGGCATCCGGCTTGGACTGAGTGTTAATTTCAGAAGAATTTTCCCGGTCATGAAAGTTAATGATCTAGTGCTCCTGGGCTCCTAACTCCGCAAAGGCCAAATGTGGTTCGGGCAGCTGGGGCTCCAGTTCTGCACACAACCAGAGCAGCTCTCTTTCCCTGGCAGTCCTGCGCTCCCGCCCTGTCCCCCGGAGATGGACAAAAGGTCGCTCTGTCTCCAAGTCCCCGTTTCTTGTAGTCTCTCAAGCAGACTATTAACCAAACAGCGCCGGGACACGGATTACTATCCTTCAGCGAGAGGCTAATGCCACCAGATTCATTTTGTTTAACAACCTCAGAATTGACTCACAATTGGACTCTGGAATGAAGGGCTAATTGAGTCAGTCTGCTGCAGAGAGTATAACTCTGATTGGGAGGATAAAACCAGATATACTGCTCTGAGCAGAAGCCTGGACAGGCTGCTTTGCAAGAGAAGATTGTCAGCACAGATCCCCGGTCCTAAGAGGAACACAGCCAGGGGACAGAAAAGAGCTTCAAAATAATTTTGAGCACATGCAGCACTGCTAAAACACTAACACTTCCCTGGTTCTGTTTTTCACACTGGACCCACCTCCTACTGACATTTCTACTTGGAGACAGGATGGGGACTCACATTTTAATGAGAGAAGAACTGAAGTAAGAGGAAGTTTACCCAGCATTGTGTTGGAACCGGCTCATTACTGACCAACTGGTATATTTTCAGGGAGTTTGTGAGTTGGTTAACATCATGGTGGTAGTTTGCGAGTAACTGTGGTGGGAGTGTTTACACCCTGGTGATCAGCAAACCCCGCAAATGGGGGCTTTGTGTTGTTCTCGGAGAAACGATTGTTTACTATGTATCTGCACACCCTGTTTAGAACCAGTATGATGCATTCAATCCTCCGGATAAAGCACCTGTCGTGCCTCAGGAGTGAAGGCCCAGCCTTCCTGGTGCAGCTTCCCCTCCATCCCCAGTCACCTGTGGGCCAAGTGAAATGATGTAGGAACAGTTTTAATCTCCAGTCTTTCAGTCTTTCGTACCCCCCAAAGAAAGAAAACAGTTGGCTCTCAAACACCCTTCCTTCCTAACATCTTCTCTTACAGATGGACACAGTCCTCTCTTTTTTTAAGGTTTATTTATTTATTTATTTATTTATTTTGAGAGAGAGAGCATGGGAGGGACAGAGAGAGAGACAGACAGAGAGAGAGAGAGAGAGAGAGAGAGAGAATTCCAAGCAGGGTCTGTACCACCAGCACAGAGCCCGATGCAGGCTCAAACCCACTAACCGTAAGATCATGACCATGAGCCAGAGCCAGACCCTTAACCCACTGAGCCGCCCAGGAGCCACGTCCTTTGAAATCTCCTAAAGCAACACGTTGGTTACATGTATTGACAAAGCAGCTTGACTTGTCAGTCCCGTGGTTCCGTCCCTGAACGATGTGCCATGTGCTTGTGAGTTAGTCAGTAAACTCTCTGTCTGAACCCAACCCACCATGAGAGACAAGTAAAAAGATGGTAACAATACAGTGGCTAGTTCTTGATAAACAGCAGAAAGGCCACTAACAAAAATAACATCGAACATGAGTGAAGTACTTAGTATGTGTCAGCTATGTCTTTACACACTTTTTATTTTTTTCCACAACTCTAATAAGGTAGAGATGGTGGTTTTCTTTTCCAAATTTCCGAGGAGGAAACCACAGCTTACTAGGATGAGACCAGAGTCAGATAGTAAGCAGTAGAACCAGGATTTGACAGCACACATTCTGATGCTGCACATTAAGCTTTTGACGCTACACAGCTAGAGACACTGGTTTCAGAGAAGCCATGACATTGGCACTGAGAGTCACAGGATGACTCTGACCAGCAATGGCGGAGGGGGTAACCTAGGTAGGAGAGGGCAGCATGTGGCAAAGTCAGCACGCCCATAGCACTCCCAGGCTATCGACAGTGGAATATTTGCCTTGCCAGGTATCGACTTAAGGTCTTGACACATATGCACACATTTAATACAACAACCTTAGAAGGTAATCCTATCAGCCCCATTTTATAGATGAAGAAACTGAGACAAAGAGAGGTTAAGTAACTCCCTCCAGGTTGCAGAGTTCTGTGGTGGAGCTAGAACTCGACCAAACTCAGTATCAGACTCCAGAGCCAGAAAGCATTCACAACCACTACAACTTAGCACACCCATCACCCAGAACATTGTTAGTCGTTCACTTGGGATGGCTGAGCCATGGGTGGTGAACGGTGAGTGACGGGTGATGATGCTGGCAAGGATGTGAAGAGGCGTGAATGACCTAAAAGCTTGGATTTTATCCTAAAACCAGTGGGAACCACTGATGGTTTTTAAACAAAGTAACATGATCAGGTTTGCCTATCAGGAAGACTTTGGGGTCTCTCAGATGTTCAGCAAAGATCTTCTGGAGACCTACTCTGTGCCTTCACTGTTCTAGCAGCAATGGGGAAGCAGGGCACTGGCCAAAGGATACTAGCTAACAGGAGACTGAAGCCAGTGGGGAACCAGTGGGGAGATCTGAGGACCTGAAAGAGGAAGAAAAGGGGATGCATGGAGAGGCAGGTTTTACTAGAACGGAAGTCAAGACTGTAGAAAGAAGGGCCTCAAGGTGCAGGCAACTCAGCACACAGTGGTGCTGCAGGGGGAATGCAGGGGAGGACAGGCCCGCAAGGAAGATGGTGAGGTGGGATGCAAGCATCTTGCAGGTGGTTACAGCTTAAGCTCTCCATCTGTCCAGTTGCCAACCATGGTCTGAGCACCTGCTACCCTCCAGCCCCCAGTATCCCAGGACAGCCCTTGCTGAACACACTTCCCCTGCCCATCTTGGGTAAAGAGTCACGTTGTAACCTGTTTCAGTGGCTTCCCTGCCTGGGCTGTGCCGATCCAAACACAAAAGCTTAAACGTCCAGTGTGGGATTAACAAAGAAATTCCACAATTGGATTTCTTCTGGAGACATGAAATCTCCATGACTACAAGCAGTGATGAACCTGATTGTTTTTCTCTGAGAAAATGAAGAGGAAATGAATAGGCACTAATGTAGACATGCATCTCCCTCTGAAAGAGAAAATTCCCACCCTCAAAGAGGAGGAAAACGCCAGCAAATGCCAAGTTAGCCTTAGGAAATCTGCTGAAGAGAAAACTGTGGTTTATGTAGGAAATATCATACTAAAGGAAGCATGCTGCTAACTGGAAATAGAAAAATGATTATAACAATAAAATCTAGGAGAATCTTTTCAAATGGCAGATGGTCTTTTGACAGTGGGGGGAAATCATTTACCTTCTTTTTTGGTTAACATTTTTAGGAAAATAAGTGTTATGGCAAACAGGTGAAAAAAAAACGACATACAGTGATGCCCAGTTTAA